TCTTGTTCGCGGGTTCCAGGGACGGGGAATTGAAGTAATGGGTGGATGGGAAAGCAAGACAATGGGCAGGAGAGAGAGGGAGTGGGGAGGGAATGCAGAGAGACAGAAAGAGGGAGAGATAGATACATACATACATATATATATATATATATATATATACAGAGAGAGAGAGACTGAGAAATGGCGTACAAGGGGAAGAGGGAACTAGGGAGAGAGAGAGAGAGAGAGAGAGAGAGAGAAAAAAAGAGACTGAGTGAGTGCGTGTACGGCAGACAAGAGAAATCCCATGATCTGGTAAACCAAGCAGTATGAAGCAACCTCTGGACCTGGGAAGCCTAGCACCGTGAAAAGTGTGCATTTCCGGGGGAGCCGAACATTTCTCACATATTTCAAGCCTCCCCCAGCCTAGGACAACGAGCACTGCTAGGCTGATCCCCTGTTGCCCGTAGCCGTTGCCGTCGTGGCTCGTCGCCCCGTCCAGCTCCCGTCGTGGCTCGCCGCCTCGTCCTGGAATCCTTCCAGCCACAGACTCCTGGCCGACGATTTCGAAGCATGGAGCCGACCGAGCTGAGGCGCTTTTGTAGGCCCAGCTCCACCCAGAGGCCGCGCGTGATGCTCTGCGACCCAGAGGGGAAATCTAGAGAAGGCGTGCGTGCAGATTGGGCAATTGTCTTCGTGGTTATCCTCAACTTCTCTGGGTGCGAGGCCGAAGGTTGCGCTGTCCTGCGTTGCTTTATCGCCACAACGATTTGATCGGAATTGGGGCATCCTGATGACAAGGTGGTTGAAGACTGCCAAACGGGATTTCTGTGAACGCTGGGTGCGACCGATGCTCACGTCGTTCCAGAGAGAGACCAATGCCCAAAGCAAATTCACAAACCGGGTGGGGACCTATGGGTGCCTCTTGGGGTCTCTCGCAGATGTCTTGGAGGCTTCGGGGTCAGTTTTTTTTGCCCCGTGGAGGACGCGCGGGGACACGGTTCGTCGGCCCCGCTTGGGGCCCCCCTTCTGGGGTCTTCTTTCGGGCTCCCTTGGGGCACGCCTGCGGACTCCTGGGGCTCTCTTGGGGTCCTTCTAGGGCCAAGTGGGGCCTTTCCTTGTCCGCGCAATGGCTTGAAGTGTCCCCCCGAAGGGCGGCATCCTGGGGATGACTGTGCGCTCCTGGACGCTTTGGGGGGCATCCTGTGGCCTCTGGCGGCCACCTTGGGCGATCTCATTCATAGTTTTGGGATGGAAAGCACGCGTGTCGATCATTGTCAGTGTAGGACCGGTATCATCTTGCTATTATTGCCAGCATTTCCCCTGGGCTACACCTCTCCCTACTGCCATGCGGTGAAACAGGATCGAATATTCCGAGTACATGAGAATTTGTTCTCTATCCAGTATGGCGAACACGGGAATGGGTCTAGAGTATCTTGCAAGCGCGATCTGTTGTAGTGAGAGCCTGTACGGTAGCGCCAATTCTTCCCAAAGCTGTTGTCATTGATCAGTTTTCATTTGTGTTGTCAGTTCTGACGACTGCCTTCGAATACATATGGTGAATTCTTCGTGGGCGCATGAACTAGCTGCATATTCTTCTGGCAACTCAGTGGCAGAGTTCAGCGTGATGCGTGATTCAAAAATCCACCCTCTTCCTCTACTCCTCCCTCCTCCCTTATCCTCCGTTCCCCAGTCACCTGTCCACTCTTCTTTACCCACTCCATCCCTCCCTCCCTCCCGTTTTATGACCAGATTTGCATTGCTGGAACTTCATCTTGCGCAGCGAGTGCGAGAGATTCCGCTAACCGATTCTGTTGCAGCTTGTGGGCCACAGCTCACATCATTGTGCAGCGTCTCGGCTGACATCGTTATTCGTGCAGGAGTTTTCTAGCAGGAGAAGCGCCTGACCAAGCGTCACCGGCGGTGCGGTCCAAACTGGGGGAACCCACCTGGCAAATGATGCTTCATTACTTGGGGCATCATGGGACTTTGGGTGTGTCTGCGCTCGAGTCTTTCACCAAGCAACTGGAAATATTCTCCAAGCAGGAATGTTCGTTTGCGGTCAGGGAGTTCCTTAGAGGTTTCAGGAGTGGTGGATTGCGCCGCTCGGTTCCTGGGGCAGATTCGCGGTAGCCTCAAGGAGCGACTCCTATCGTCAGAGGAGGTCATCGTTGCAGGCAGTAGTTTCTTTCACCCAGTCGACGTCGTCGATGAGAAAGATCGGAAAACTCAAGAGTTGTGGCACGAGGCGGCCGTCGACACGGCCGATTTTGACAAGTAATTCAGCAGCGTTCGAGAGCATGCAGCGGTGGAGCGGAGCTTCCCGAGAGCTTCCGGCCCCCGAGCCTCGACGACGACGCCGACGACGACCGGCGTCGAGCATCGGCCTTCTCAGAAGGTTCGGAAGTCCCCTGGCCTTCCCAGAAGTTTTCCGAGCCTTCCCCGAAGACCCACAATAGACTCCTCAGAAGGCGCGAGGGCTTCTGAGAAGTCCCGCCGCCTTCCGAGGAGGCCTTCTCCCTCTCACTCACTCCCCCTTCGCCCGCCGCCGCCAAGATGCACCATCCACCCCGCGCGCCCCCCGCCACTCTCCGTCGCAGCGCGAGGCCGCGGTCGGCCCGAGCGAGGGCCACGTCCGCCCCCCCGCCTCGGGCGGCGGCGTCGAGGCGGGCGCCGCCCCCCCCGCTCCCTCACCGCGCTCCGGCAGAGCTCATTCTGCGCAAGAGCAGCACGGTTGCATTGGTTTGGTCCGCGCAGCACGGCAAGGGTACAGCAAGGGTACAGCGGGGGTCGTGCGAAGTCCCCGCCGAGCTCGCACAAGCCATTGCCCAGCACTTCGGTATAGCACTTGCAGCGAAACCATCACCACCATCACCATCACCGTCATCACCATCAAGGAGACGGTGGGGATGAGCAGGAGGAAGAAAATGCGGATTAGGAGGAAACGCAGAAATCGAGCATACGACACGGGCGCGGATGCGGCTCGGCGTCAGCGCTTGCCGACGGGGCTCTTCAACAGCCGTCGCGGCCTGCCAATGGCGGCACGGGCGGGTGGAGCCGACGGGCAGCCGTAGTCCTTCGGCGGCTGAGCGTCGGGCTCTTCAGCGCTGCTGGATGGGGCTCTTCACGAGCTGCTGCAGGTGCGGAGGCACCGACGGCGGCGGCACGGCGGGCGAGCTGAGGAGGCGGCCGATCCTCTGGATCTCAACCTCCGAGTCCTTCACGGGGTCTGGCTTGGCCATGCCGTGGTTCGTCATGTCCCCGAACTTGCCGTGCATGTCTGCGAGGCTCGACGACGTCTGCTCGTATGCCTGCTGGAGCTGCTGCATCATCTCCGTAATCGCCTTCTCCCGGTCGACGAAACCCTGCATGAGCTCGCCGCAGCGGCCCAACTCCTCCCGCATCGCCGTGATCTGCTTGTAGAGCGCCTTCGTTTCAGTGGCGTGCTCGACAGTAAGCTGGTTCACCAACTCCTCAGAGAGCTGCATGCCGACGTTGTAGAAGGTGGCGCCCCCTCCACCAACGGCCATGTTAGCTGGCTGGCGTTGCATCCCTGGCGATTGCATCCCTGGCGAAGATCGCTGCATCATTATTGTGCCTGGTTGGCCACACGTTCGTTGCGCGCTGCTTCAACAGACTCGCCACCTTGAGTCAACTTGAGCCAAAATGGCTACCCGGCCCCTCCATCTCCACGACGTGAGGTGGCGCATAATCGGTCAAGACACGGCTATGCACGACATCGCCGTGGTGTCAGCAGGCGCTCTCTGCCGATCTTCTCGTGTGACACTCCGAGTGGACGCTGCATTCGTCACGCTCTGAGTCGTGCGCTCTGCCGAGAGAACAAAAAAAACCGTCATCACCATCACCTTCACCATCGTCATCATCATCACCATCACCATCACCATCACCATCACCATCATCATCATCACCATCATCGTCATCACCTTCATCATCATCATCACCACCATCAGCATCACCATCACCATGATCATCATCACCATCGTCGTCCTCACCATCATCATCATCATCATCACCGCCATCATCATCATCACCATCACCATCATCATCATCCTCATCATCACCAGCACCATCACCATCATCATCATCATCATCATCATCATCATCATCATCATCAACGACATTCTTATGATTGTGACTATGACGATTTTTTACGACTGCTACTATTACTATTTCTGTACTTATTTTTATTTGTATTATTGCTATTATCCTCATCTTCATCATCATCGCCGTCATCATCAGCATCAGCATCAGCATCAGCATCAGCATCAGCATCAGCATCAGCGTCAGCATCATCAGCATCATCAGCATCATCAACATCATCAGCATCATCAGCATCATCGTCATCATCATCATCATCATTATTATCAGCATCATCATTATCAGCATCATCACCATCATCATCATCAGCATCATCATCGTCGTCATCATCATCCCCCGCGCCGATCGCTTCGTTGTCTTGCCGATCCTCTCTTCACCGCATCTGTGCCAGACTAGCGCGGCGGTGGTGCCGTCCGTTCGACGCTGCGGTGTCAGGCTGCCCCCAGTGGGGTTCACTTGGCCGCAGGCATCCCCTGAATCCTGAGTCCCAGCGGGAGTTTCTGAGGTCTGACGAGCAGGGGTAGGGTTCGCGCGTGGCTGCCCATGGGCGGTTGGCCGGCCACGAGGTCGATCTGATTTCAGAGGTCTTTGGCCGTCTGTTCAGCTGCTCTCGCACCCGGAGCTCCGCTCCCGTGTGCAGCCCGGGAGTCCCTGGTCGCGGCCAGGCACGGCCCTGAGTCCCAGGAGGCAGCCCGCTCGCTCCTGGCGGCCCTAGCTCGATGCGGACTCTTGTCCGTTCGGAATCGCGGCGTGCGGCCCTCTCGTTCCAGGCTGCCTTCTGTTGCCAGAGCTCCACCCTCTTGGGTGCCACTCTGCCTTCTCTGCGGGGGCCAGGGGAGGCGTACGGAGGAGGACGACGAGGAGAACCAGCGCTCCATGTGGCGGACGCCGCGCGGTGCGCAATGGCGAGCACCGAGGGGAGCAGGGCCGGCTGCGGCCCCCTTCCGTGCACCCAGAGGGCGCCCAGCCTTGCCCACCGACGGCTCACGGCCAGAGCGGCGCGGGTGCAGGGGTGCAGAAGGCGCGAAGCGCCGAACAGTATCAAACGAGGCAGGCTGAGAGAGCAGTGCAGGCGGCAGGCGGCGGACTCCTGGACGTTGATGGGGCGGCGCGGCGGGCACGCGCGCGCGCGCCCTTCGCTCGCGCTTGCCGAGACCTCAGGATCCCCAACCTCCAAAGAGTAGTGGGAATCAAACGCGAGGCACCTTCGCTCGCGTGCATGTCAAAACAACAGCACCACCACCAACAACAACAACCAACACCACCATCACCAAGAACAACACCACCACCAACAGCAACACCACCACCACCAACCACAACAACTAACGCGACACCAACACCACCAGCAACAACACCACCACCACCACCACCACCACTAACAAGACAACAACGACAACAACAGCAACAACACCAACAGCAACAACAGCAAGAACAACAACTCAGCCGCACGGCCTGTGTGCTGCTCGCTTGAAGGACGACGAGAAGAGCGAGGCAGAAGTGACGACGGTTCTGGCTGGGCGAAGCCCTCATGGGAGGACTTCCAGGGGTGGGGCAAAGGGCGGGCGCATGGCCGACGGACAGAGCGCGGACAGTCAACCCGCACAGTCAGGATGGGCAACTTCCTAAGGGTATTTTTGCATCCTTGCCTCCTCGGTCCATCCTTGACCACTTTCGTCGGCCGCGCCCCGCTCGAGAAGCTTCGACATGGGCGTCCCAGGCCCTTGCATTCTTGCCGCGCATCCTTATTGTACGGGTGGACTGTACGAGTGATGACGTTGTAGTGGGGCGAGTAGCCTTTTAGGGAGAGGACTCCCCAGGTAACACGCCCCCCCTCCTCCCCCCGCCTCCGCCGCCCCCCCCCCCCCAAAGACGGCGCAAGTGGACCCCCAGACGGCTTCAGATACCTCCAAGATGGTCCAAGAGAGATCCAAGAGGTCTCTAATTTTCGGCCGGCCCAAGAGCGCTCCAAGAGAGCCCAAGACCACGGGAGAGTGTTCCAGGATGGCCTAAGGTGGCCTCAAGACGGTCCCCAGGCTGCCCAAGGGGCCCTCGAGAGGCTGCCTAGAAGGCAGCAGAATGCCCCAGCCATTGCTCTTCCCTCGGTCTTGCCATGCCTTTAGGGTCTCGCCTTTTGGGGGCCCCGACGGCCCCAAGAGCAGGCTGGACAGGGCCGCCCACGCTCCGATTCGATGCGATTCGATTCGCCGGCTTGGGCCGCGCTTGCAGTTCGATGCGACCCAGCTCCATTCGCTGTCATCGGCCAGGGCCGGCCAGCAGCGGCGCGCGGCGATCCGATCCCGCTCCGATCTGGGACGACTCGCCTGCGATCCGAGCCGTACCCGCTCGTTCCGTCCTCCCCCTGCTCCTACCCCTCCTCCTCCTACCCCTCCTCCTCCTCCTCCTCCTCCTCCTCCTCCTCCTCCTCCTCCTCCTTCTCCTCTTGGCGGCAGCGGGGAAGGCAGCAGGGGGCACTCCGCCAGCCAAGGCAGCCCCGCCAGCAGCAGCAGCCAAGGGCTGCGGGCGCAGCGGCGGGGCGACAGCGTGAGCTCCGCTTCGCCCGACGCACGAGGTGTGGCCTGCGCCGTCGTGCGCCTGCGCTCGCGGCGCCCCCAGGCGGCCTGGGCGGGCGCGCCTGGCAGGCAGGCGGCCCCTGCAGGACAGCCAAGGACCAGGACCCCGAGCGTAGGCGAGCGCTCGAGCTGCAGTGGGCCCTGGAGTGGGCCCTGACGACCTTCACAGGGCACTGGATAGAGGACCCGCAAGTTTTGGATGACGACAGAGACGCGCTCCACTGGCGGAGGCACTGCGTCCCGTATGTCGATCACTACCTCTCGCACCCTGCGATGGCGCTTCTCGTCCACGGGCGCGCCCAGCATGACGGCCACGGGAACATGGCCACGGCGCAGCTGGACATGGCGATGGAGATTTGCGACCAGGCCTTCAGACAGCGTCGATCCTACAGGATGCGCTATTGGGCATGGCTGCGCATGCTGGAGGCGCGCGACTACGACGAATGGGTGCGCCAGCTTGCCGAGCATGCCGAGGCCATCGCGAGGGAGTCGGAGGACCTGGACAACGGCCGTGGCATCCGCCACGTTATGAACCACACGGAGCTGGAGGTCAACTCAGGGGAGTGCGAGGCCAGCCATACCGTCTTCTACGATCACGAGCTCGTGTCGGTGTTCGGCTACTCGGGGGAGTGCTACGATGCCGACAGGACCTCACCTACCTGTTCTACCACGACCAGTCCGCCCACCACTGCGACCTCTGGCACGAGTCGCACGCGAGGACGGGGCCGTCGAAGCTCGAGACCAGGGGCCTACCCCACTATGGCTGGCGCTGTGAGTGTGGAGGAACCTAGCGGCTCCGTGGGGCCGACAGGGGATCCCACAGTCGCAGCGCCGACGCTCAAGGGACACGTCGGTGGCGACGAACCCCTTCGGCCAGAGGCTTCACCCCGCAGCGTGCGGCCCCTTTGGGAGGTCGAGCCACCTCGGGGTTCCCGCAGCGCGCGGCCCTCTTCGGAGGTCGAGCCGCCTCAGGCATGGGCTGGGACATCATCCCCTCCCCGCAGCGTGCAGCCCTCGTCAGAGGTCGAGCCACCTCGGGGCACCCGCGGCGCGAGGCCCTCCACGGAGGTCGAGCCGCCTCGGGCAAGGACTGGGACATCAGCCCCGAGGGGCAACTGCGACACCATGACGAGCATGACGGTGAATGTCACGGGCTGGGGATCCTGCCTCGAGCAGCTGGAGCGCGGCCACGTCGACGACGGGGTGCAGGCCATCTTGCTGCAGGAACACCGTCTTCACGACGACCTACGACTTGCAGCGGCAGTGCGTGCAGCCGAGCGAGCGGGCTGGGTGGCCGACCTCATCCCAGCGTCCCTCACGGACGTCGGTGGCGTGTCCTCAGGAGTGGGGATACTGGTGCGGCACTGGGCGCGGATGCGACGCGTCGAGTTCAGCGACGACCGCATCTCCATCCGCTGCTCAGCTCGCATGGGCTTCTGGATAACCTCGCTGGGCTCGACAGCGGACGCGCTCATGGTCTCGGCGTACTTCCACACTAACCAGGATTTGAGCGACTTCAACCTGGACGTGCTCACCAACCTGGGCTCTGTCATCAGGGCCATGCATCGCCCCTTCGTGGTGGGGGCCGACTGGAACATGATACCCGACGTGGTGAACGAGGCCCACCTGCTCCCCGCAGTGGGGGCACGTCTGGCGTGTTCGGGGGGAGCTACCTGCATTGCGGCGACCTCGGCGCGGGAGCTCGACCACTTCTGCGTGGACGCGGGCACGCCCGTCCAGAGCGCCAGCAGGTGCGACCAATTCGACGCCCGGACTCACCGCGCAGTCCTCCTGCAGCTGGCACTGCCCAGGCCTGGCGGGCTGGTGGCGCGGGTGCACAAGGCCCGCGCTTTCCCTGCCCAGGCTTTGATCGGACCTCAGCTGCCTGGACCAGACTGGGCTGATGTTCGTGCCGACCTGGACTCAGTGGCCACGCCAGCGGGCCTCGAGGCGGCCTGTGCGAAGGTCCTGGACAGATACGAGGACGAGATGCTGAGGCACTTCGAACTGGAAGGCACGCGCGAGGCCAGCAGATACAGCGGCAGGAGCGAGGGCGTGAGGCTGGTCCAGACGCAGCTGGAGCGCCACCGCTCCAGCAGCTGGCAGCCCACCGAGCGGCCAGACCCAGCCGACGCGCGCGGGGGCTGGCTGGCGGACAGGGTGCAGGAGTGGCGGCTGCTCTGGGCTGGGGGGCAAGCAGCTCTGGCCCACGCGAGGCGCCTGCAGGTGAAGCTGCTGCGCTTCAAGCCACCAGTCCCTGGGTGCGAGCAGACGGTGTGGCGTGCCTGGCGGCGGCTGGCGCGGCGCCTGCACTGCCTCCACGACGTCGAGTGCGACGAGCTGCTGGCCCTCTTACGCCGTCATGCAGCGACCGCAGCAGGGAGGGCGTCGTACAGGCGCTACAAGGCTTGGCTCGACTGGACGCGCGATGCCACCGCAGCGGATGGCATGCGCAATGCGTTTCGCTGGATCCGCAAGCCTGCCCCATGGGCGGCGGCGCGGTGGGCGCCAGCCGTGGGGCTGCAGACGGCGCGGGAGTCGGCGGATGCGGCCATCAGCCCGTGGCACGCCCTGTGGAGCCACGGCGAAGGGCTTGAGGCGATCCGCTGGCCAAGGGGGCTTGGCGACACGCCCCCCCCCCCCCCCCCCCCCCCCCCGCCCGAGGAGCTGCGGAAGGTGGGCCGCTCATTCCCGCGCATCGCAGGCCTGGGGGGCGACGCCTTCCACCCGCGGTACGTCGCCTTCCTATCGGGCGGCGCGCTGATGGCCCTGACGACCGTCTGGCGGCACATGCTGGTCCTCGACCACGTGCCGAAATCGCTGGCCGTGCTACAGATGGCGCTCATCCCCAAGTCCGACTCGGGGTTCCGCACCATCGGGCTCTTCGCGGGCTCCCTGAGGCCCTTCGCGCGCTGGGCGCGCGGCACGCTCGGCGCCCGCTGGGCCAGCGACCACCAGAGGGACTACGTCTACGGTACGGCTGGCCAGAGCTGTGAGACGTGTGTGTGTGTGTGTGTGTGTGTGGATCCAGGCGGCCAGCGCGGAGGTGGCGACGCACCGCAGGCAGGCGGCATGCACGGTGCTCATGGACCTCTCTAAGGCCTGCGAGCACATCCCGTGGGCGCTGCTGGTTCAGCGCGCCCACGCCATGGGCTTCAACATGATGCTGATGTGGGTGCTCGTGGGGCTGTGCGCTCTGCCGAGGCTGGTCACCGTGGACGGCGTCGCCGTGGGCTGGTGCAGCCCGCGACGTGGAGTGGTGGCGGGCTGCAGTTTCGCCGACCTCTGCATGCGCATCTTCCCGGTCCCGCGGCTCGACGAGATCGCGGCGCTCGGCGCGGTGGACGTGGGCAACACTGTCGACGACATCCAGCTCAGCAAGATCGGGCTGCCCAGGGCCGTGGCGGCCAACGTCAGCGCGGCCTACAAGAGGATTCGAGGCGACCTCACGGCGGACGGGCTCGTAGTCAACGGCGGCAAGGGCGTGGTTCTGTCCAACTCAGCCGACTGCGGCCGCGAGGTCACACGGCGCTGCCGCCCCCTGCGGGGCAAGCTCATGGGCTCGGCGAGGAACCTGGGCATCGACTACGCCAGCGGGCGCCGTGCTGGAGTGAGCACGCGGGCCAAGCGCACTGCCACCGTCCTTCGCCGTGCTGCGCGCATACGTGTGCTGCGCGCGGCCCGAGGGAGAACAAGGCAGCTGGTCAGCCTGGGGCTGACCCCAGCGGGATGTTGGGGAGCGGGCGTGACGGGAAGGGCGTGGAGCGGGATCGAACCGATGGGGCGAGCTGCGCACTCTGCCCTGTTCGTGCACACAGCTCGTCGCTCCTTCGATGTTGACCTCCACCTCGCCCCTGCCTCCCCGTGGTCGGTAGACCCTGCCTGCGCGTGCACGGCAGGGCCCGTGCTTATGTTGGCCCGAGCGATTTGGTCCTCGTGGATTCCTCGGGACTTGGTTGCCAGGCTGATGTTTGCTTCGGAGGCCGCTTTCTTGGCCGACCCGTCAAAACGCGACTGGCCCCTAGTCAAGGGCCCGATCTCTGCCGCCGTCGCCAGCTGCCGTCGGATCAGATGGAGGTCAGGCCCAGAAGTATGCATGCTTTTAACCCACGAGGGGGACAACATCGACCTCACTCGTCTTTGCCCCCGTTCTGTGCTGCATGTTGTTCGTTTTGCCATTGATGACTGGCTAATGGATCGTGCTCACAGGGGATGCGAGTATTTGTCGAGCCTCTCTCACCGTCCCTATTTGTTCCCCATCCGCAGGCTCTGCAACGGTGCGCGTGGCCCCGACTGGACCCCTCGGCACCAGGCCAGCCTACGAGCGATTGCTGCGAACGGGATCTGGGACCAGGCTCGTAAGTTTCGACATGGTCTGACGACCAATCCGTCGTGCCCTCTGTGTGGGTGCTGCCCAGGCACCTTCGCCGCGTGGATTGCGGGCGAGTGCCTGGCCGCCTGGCAATTCGTGCGTGAATATGACCTCCCCCCTCCGTCAGGTCGGGGCTCCGCGAGCACCCCGATTGGGCCCACTGGAGGCGCGGCCTGGTCCCTGACCCTCGCCCTTGGGTGCTCGGCCCCCCCCTCTCCCTCCACGTCGGCTGGCTCGAGCGCCCACTGGACGGCCACTTCGAAGGCGAGGCCTTCGGCGACGGCTCGTGCGTCGCTGGTGCAAGGCGACCGGCGCCTCAGTCGTGCAGGCTGGTGTGTAGTGCAGGTTGACGCCCGTGGGGAACTAGTGGCGTCCCTGTGCGGTTTGTTGCCTGGTCTGCACCAGGCGTCGGACCTGGCCGAGGCATGCGGCCTGCTCATGTATCTCACGCATGTTTCGCTCGGCCCTTTTCGCTACCACACGGACTGTGAATCGGTGGTCACGAGTTTTCAGCGTGGCCGCTTCGAGACCACGGGCGCCACGTGCGAGGGCGCCGTTTTGTGGTCTCTGATGTGGGATCGGGTGGACGACCTGGGGGGGACTGGAGGTACTGAAAGTCAAGGGCCACGCCCGCCGCCGTCATGACGACGAGCAGGAGCTGGGTGCGGTCGCGCGATGGGGGAACCATCACGCAGATGCTGGCGCTCGTGTGGGCGCTGCTCTGCATCCGTCGGATGCCGAGGCTAGCGCGCGTGTGCAGCGCTCCTTTAAGCTGGTCACGTTGTGGCCAAGTTCCTGGCCAGGACGTTGCAGGCGGTCGGCCCTAAGTCGCAGTCGGCACCCCGCCAAGGGCAGCTGCGGCGGGCGCAGAGGAGGGGACCGACGCCTGCCCTCTCGGCGGACACGGAGCCGTCCCCTGGTGTGCATGTGCCTGTGCCTGCGCCCACGGGCGGTGTCAAATGCGCGCGGTGCTTTCGCGTGGCACGGCACCGTGAGGCCTTCGACGCGCCCTCGTGTGCCCCAGGCGGAGGCCACCGAGTCTGGCATGTAGGCCAGTTCGTCTTCTGTGCCAGCTGCGGGGCGCACTCGAGCGAGAATGCGCAGCTGCTGGCGCAACCCTGCCATGGTGGGGTGCACCCCAAGACACGGCCGCGCTTGGACCGTCTCTGGGAGGGCCGCCACCCTCGCACTGGGCGGCCGCTGCTGCCGACTGACCAGGGTCAGCTGAGGCCACGCCCATTCGGCGAGTTCATCATCGACGCCACCCTCGGGGGCTTGGTCGTGGAGGATGACGATCGCGCTGAGTAGGGGTGACCTCCTGACCCGACCTCGTGCGGCACTCCCTCTGGGAGGTGCCCGAGCTTTTTCCTTTCGCGTCGGGCTTTCGCCTGAGTTTGCTTGCGTAGCCAGCGCACGCATGCGGCCCCGTCTGGATAAAACTCCTCCTCCTCCTCCTCCTCCTCCTCCTCCTCCTCCTCCTCCTCCTCCTCCTCGGGCGGGCCCTCTCTGGGCGGCGGGCCCCCCCCATCGAGCCTCCCGCCGCGGTGCGCGGGCCGGCGGCCGCGCCGCGGGGCCAGGCGCGCGCCGCTGCGCGGCACAGCGCGGGGCTCGGCCCGCGCGCCCGGTGCGCCCCCGTCTTCGCTGACGCCCGCGGGGACTTCTGGGGATGGGCCCGGCGAGGTGGGCATACGGAGAGGCTGGGTCCGAAGAGGGAATGTTGAATTTCAGGTCTAGGTGTTACGTGCGAATTGGTACATAGCTTCAGCTCAAGCTCCATCTTCGGCTTGGGCCTCCACTCTAGTTTGGGGTTCAGATCTTACGACGTGCGTGATTAGGTCGTACCATCGCATCAGCCTGTGCGTTCGCATTATCCGTATCGTAACCTAGTCCAGCCGACGAGCTTTACGCCGCCTGGCCGCTTTCTTCCGACGCTTCGGTCACAGGTCTCGGTGCGCGCGGCCTGCGGTCGACAGCAGACGTGCGTGCGCAGTTGGTTTTCACCATGTGCAGGGTGTCTTAGGCGCAAGAGCCAGCTTGGTCAGAGGCAAGAGGGGGGCAGTACAGTCAACCCGCATAGTAAGGACGGGCAACCCTCCCAAGGGTATCCTTGCATCCTTGCCTCCTCGGCCCATCCTTGGCGGCTTTCGTTGACCGCGCCCCGCTCGAAAAGCTTCGACATGGCCTTCAAGGCCTTTGCATCCTCATCGCGCATCCTTCTGATACGGGCCGGCTGTAGGCGCAAGAGCCAGGTGGTCAGAGGCAAGATGGGGGCAGTACGGGAGGACACAGACCGTGGTTTGTCTGCAGGAGCGGATTGTGGAGGAACGCAGCCCTTGGAGGATTGCTTGCTTGCTGAGGCCTCAACCTGGTCTTCCGCAACGCTGCTTCCGCGGAGGATCGCGCCCGCCCACTGCGGGAGAAGGCGCCCTTGATTTTTCCCTCCCTATCCGTTCGGCCTCCTTCACTTTGGTGCTTTCAAGGAGCGTTGCCCGTCCGCAGTAGTCACATATAGCCCTTTCTCACGGCGTTCGTCGCGCTGAGCAGGCGTCACGCGGGTTTTCAAACATCGTGCCAGGCAGCTCGACGTGGAGGGCACCGTTGCTGTATATCATATTGTCTTCCAGGCCATGCGTTTTCTAAAGTATCATGGACATGATCTGCTGTACGTGAGTTTGTGGATGTATGTACATATGGAACAGGTGAATATGGAAGGGGGAGAGAGAGATATGACTGTATGGTAGGGGCCTTTCCTGTGATCTACACTGCGTCGTTTTCGATACGACGTCACGTGAACGTGATGCAACTAAAACGCAATGTTACTTATTTTGCAACCTTGAACCTGTTTTGTGATAGCGTACGTCTTCGTTCAAACTGAATCCTTTTGTGGTGATCTACATGCTTACATGCTGATTTCTATGTTGTAGGATACGATCGAAGTCGTTTTTATTGATTTACAACCTGATTCCTTTTGTGCGGCCTTCATATAATTCATTTGTGCCTGGCTCCAGGGGGAGAGGGGCAGACTTGGCCGACGAAAAGACAGAAACCAACAGCCAAGGCAAATCTGACAAACCAGACAACTTGGTAGACCAAACTCGCTGTGCTTTCAATTGCAACATGGTTTCGATGGTAAACCCCAGCACACAAAAAAACGCCAACCTGGAAGCACTAGTCACCCGTGTTTTCACATTGCTTGCGTATTTACATGTTGAGTCCTGTGGTTCTCACGTAGGATACCCTTGTGGGGAAGTGCAATTTGGTTCCTAGTGTGTAGGAGGGAATGTAAATCCTTTTTTTGTGGAGACTTACACATTGATGTCGATGGTGCGACCTTCACATCGGGTTCCTTTCTGCCTGGCTCACGGGGAGGAGGGGGGCTGGCTGGCCGACGAACAAATGAAACATAAACGCAAACAAACAAGACACAAGACAACTTGGGAGACCAAAAGCGATGTGTTGTTACTGGTCAAATTGTTTTAAAGTGCAAACCGCAAAGCACAAGGAAGCCACCTTCGACGCAAGCAGCGCCTGTGTTTCCCAGTGTTTGCGCATTTACACATTGAATCCTTGTGTGTGGCTCTCCAAGAAAGTCCATTTGTGGGGAAGTACACGCTGATTCCTATTGTGTAGGTATTAGTTGAAATCCTTTTGTGCAGACTTGCAAATTGATGTCTAGTGTGCGACCTTCCTGTGGGATTCCTTTGCGCCTGGGTCACGGGGGTGGGGGGGGTGACAGACATAAAAACCGAACAAGGCCAAATCCACAAACACGATAACTTGGGGGACCAACACAAAACGCTGTGTTTTTTTAACAACCGGTGCTCACATTAAATCCCTTCGTGGGGGACTGCGAAGCCGCACGCTAGGACCCAAGGTGTATGTCTGCACAAAGGATTCCCGTTGTTTTTACACACTCGGAATCAATGTGTAGTTCACCACAAGGGGTTTTTATTTGAGGGCCACGCAACAGGGTTCACTTTGTACATGCGCAACCAGTGTGACAGCTCAGGTTTTATGTGCGTTTTTTTTGGGGGGGGGTTTGTTGTATGTCTTTTGTTTTTTGTTTCTTCCTCTCTATGTGGTTGTAATTAAACACCATCGTACAATACAAAACGTGCTTTTGGTTCCCGAACTTGTTTTGTTGTGTGCGTTCTCTCTTTTTTTCTCCTCGGCCAGCCCGCCCCTCCTCACCTTCCCCTGCGCCATGAAAAGGAATTCGATTTGAAGGTCGCGCAATCGAACAAATTACCCTGTGACGTACCCAACCCATTTGTATCAATGGAAACGAGGAGTTGGCCGAAACTTGTATGGACAATCAACTTGATGTGTAAGCTACTTGGGAGGCGTCACTGTGCTGGGCCCCGCAAGCAGGCCTCGAAAGTGGCGACAATTTTACAGAACGCAGCCCCCCAGGGATGGCGAGGTCTAATTTGAATCTGCGTGTGGCGTCACTGTGCTGGGCCCCCCAGCAGGCCTCGAAAGTGGCGGCAGTTTCACCGATCGCAGCCCCCCAGGGATGGCGAGGTCTAATTTGAATCTGCGTGTGGGTACCCGCTGTGCTGGGCCCCTCAGCAGCCCTCGAAAGCGGCGACAGTTTCACAGATCGCAGCCCCCCAGGGATGGCGTGGTCCAAATTGAGTCTGCGGTGAGTACCCACTGTGCTGGGCCCCCCAGCAGGCCTCGAAAGTGGCGACAGTTTCACAGATCGCAGCCCCCCAGGGATGGCGAGGTCCAATTTGAGTCCGCGGTGAGTACCCACCCTGCTGTGCCCCTCCGCAGCCTTCGAAAGTGGCGACAATTTCACAGATCCCAGCCCCCCAGGGATGGCGAGGTCTAATCTGAGTCTGCGGTGGGTACCCACTGTGCTTGGCCCCTCAGCAGCCATCGAAAGTGGCGACAGTTTCACAGATCGCAGCCCCCCAAGGCTGGCGAGGTCTAATTTTAAGTCTGCGGTGGAGTACCCACTGTGCTGGGCCCCTTAGCAGCCCTCGAAAGTGGCGACAGTTTCACAGATCGCAGCCCCCCAGGGATGGCGAGGTCTACTTTGAATCTGCGTGTGGGTACCCACTGTGCTGGGCCCCTCAGCAGCCCTCGAAAACGGCGACAGTTTCACAGATCGCAGCCCCCCAGGGATGGCGAGGTCCAATTTGAGTCTGCCGTGGGTACCCAGTGTGCTGGGCCCCCCCAGCAGGCCTCGAAAGTGACGACAGTTTCACAGATCCCAGGCCCCCAGGGATGGCGAGGTCCCATTTGAGTCTGCGGTGGGTACCCAGTGTGCTGGGCCCCTCAGCAGCCATCGAAAGTGGCGACAGTTTCACAGATCGCAGCCCCCCAAGGATGGCGAGGTCTAATTTAAGTCTGCGGTGAGTACCCACTGTGCTGGGCCCCTTAGCAGCCCTCGAAAGTGGCGACAGTTTCACAGATCGCAGCCCCCCAGGGATGGCGAGGTCCAATTTGAATCTGCGGTGAGTAACCACTGTGCTGGGCCCCCCCAGAGGCCTCTGTGGCGACAGTTTCACTGATCGCAGCCCCCCCTCGAGGTCCCATTGAAGTGTGCTGGCCCCCCAGCAGGCTCGAAAGTGGCGACAATTTCACAGATCGCAGCCCCCCAGGGATGGCGAGGTCCCATTTGAGTCTGCCGTGAGTACCCACTGTGCTGGGCCCCCCAGCAGGCCTCGAAAGTGGCGACAGCTTCACAGTCGATTGTATCTTACGCACTAGGAATCACTTTATAGATACCGGCAACGAGTTTTATTTGAGAGCCACACAGAAGAGTTCAAAGTGTAAATGCGCAAACGCTGTGAAAACACATTTTTTGTTCTTTGGTAAAACATGGAACCCAGTTTACAATTTAAACCACATCTTTTTGTTGGCCCCCTTTTTTTCTCGTCGTCCAGCCCGCCCCCCTCCCCTCCCCCTGCGCGAGGCACAGCGGAATTCTATTTGAAGGTTGCACACTAGGAATCAAATTGTAAGTCTGCACACAAGGATTCACATCGTTTCCTACACGCTAGGAATCAATGTGTACTTCCCTACACATGGTTTTTTATTTCAGAGCCACACAAAACGAGTCAACGTGTAAGTGCACACGCGGCGCCGTTCTGGCTCCTGAACCGTCCGCCCCGTCCTTGTTTTCCTTCGGCCGCGTCCTTCCTCCCTCTTCCTCTTGCATGGAGGCACGCTGCGCTCCAATGGCATCCCCGCTTGCGCCTCTCATTGCCAGCGCCGTCATCTTCTGCCTAGCCGCCGACGCAACACGTTTTTTCGTCGGCCAGGCCGTCCCTCCCGCCGACCCAGGCGCAAAAAGGCTTTTATTTGACGGCCGCAGAACAGGCATCACTGTGTAAATTTATACATAAGGGTTTCTCTTGCATCCCGCACAGTAGGAATCAACGTGTAATTCTCCACGCAGGGATGTCATTCCATGGCCGCGCCGTAGGAATCAATGTGTAAATCAGCACACGCGGAATTCAACAGTGTCCCCAACATAATAGGAAACAGTGTGACAGGCCCCACACACGGAATTCCAACGGGAATGAATTTGCCAGTTTGTGCAAGCGGATTTCTGTTGCACCTTCCGCAATAAGATCACGTCGTAGATGTTCGCGAAGAGGGTTCAATTTGAAGGCCGCGATGCTTCACTGTTGGTTGCCCAGCCAGGGATGGAGGTGATCGCGATGTATGATTGTGGTGGTGGTCGTTGCTAGTCGGGCGGTGGTGGCGGTGATGTTCCAAACGATGCTGGCGGTGGACACGGTGAGGATCATGCCAGTGGTGGTGGTGGTGGTGGTGGTGGACCAGGTGGCAGTGATGTTGATGCCTTTAATACTGGTGGAAGTTGGGACGAGGTGGGTGCTATACCGTCGTGAATTGTCACGCCGTGCGCCACTGCCATTTTCATCGTCATTCCAACCAGTCGTTCCACGACCGCTCTCAGCGCCATCGCCACTTAACCCAACGCATCGCCACCGCCATTGCCGCCACAATCTCAATTACCAGCTAGATCGATCGCGCCACAATTCCACCATCGCCATCACCATCGCCAGCAGCATCATCGGACCACTGTAACAATCACCACCATCGAGGCTGCCATCAAGAACCAACAGTACTATTTTCATCATCGTTTCCAGCGCCACCGCCGCCACAATTTGCACCAACACGTGGACAGCCAGTATCACCGCCACCAGCTGGACCGCCACCCCATCATCATCGCCAGTGCCATGGTCATCAGTATGCAAGGTGGCCGTGACAATGACGGTACGGGTGTTGGCGGCGGTGCGGTTTGTGACGGCGCGGGCGGTGGCCCGCCAACCGGGGCAGGACAATGTAAAACAATTGACGGGGCAGGGCTTGGATCGCGTATCCTAAAATAGAAAGGGTTGTGACGGCGGTAAAAGTTCAGGTGGTGGCCGTGCTGGCTAT